GCGTTTAACAATTGCAAAACTATATCAAACTCTCACACAACTTGTTCAGTATAATCCAAAAATTAGTATAATCTAATTTTTACAGTCGAATGCTCACTCCTTCCAAAATTCATCCATTTTCGCAAAGATCCCTCTAAAAATAACTTTGGTTGACTGTAAATGCAGAAGTGTCTTAGTAAGGTTTTGCAAAAATGCCTGTTTGGAAGTATTCCACTGAGCATAAACTGGATAGATGAGATTTGGATTTTACTGCACAAGTGTGAGAGTTTGTGAATGGATGTTGTGATATAAAATTGCTGTTGTTAAACTCAACAAAGGTTGAGTAATTCTACCCGTGTTACTTTAAATTCTTGGTAAAATGTGAATGAGCACCTTAAAATTTTGGAAAATGTCCGGCAGACATTAGGTACGTAGAGATGCTCATACATGAACCCTCATATGTAGACGATATACAGAGAGAATTAATACATTTAATTTGTTAAACATTTAGGCAGATGTCTTACATCTACTTAAACTGGTTATGGGGATCAGTAGCCTCACAATACCGACAGATAAAGCTCCAACAAGGGAAGTAGCTTAAAGATGCCGGTCAATATTTGCTTTGTCACAGATCTGACAAAATGGATGTAACTGCAACTGTTTTGTTTTTTACCATGATTTCAGAAAGCATTGGATATGTGCAATCCCAACCCTTGCCACAAGGGGGTGCCCTGTCACAGCATGGAGGGCAGATACTTGTGTGCGTGCCCCGAGGGTTACTATGGTAACGAGTGCATGAACCTCAAAAATCCCTGCATTGGTCAACACTGTCCAGGTAAGAACAATATGGGTGGGTGCCTTAATAAAAGTACAAAATCTCTATGAAGTGTGGTCCGACCTCTCTGTCTCTGCCTCCGTGTCTTGTAGGCGCCATGTCTGACACAACCCACGGGGGGGTCAGCATCTACATCATCCTGGTAGGCATCCTAGCTTTAGTGACGGTCTGTGGCTGTGCGGCGTGCGCCTTCATCCTCTCGCACATCCATCGAAAGCGGAAAAAGCAGCAGGCCGTCCCGCAGGAAGAAGGCATCAACAACCAGAGGGAGTTTGTCAACCTCATCAGAAACGTGGACCGTCCCGTGCCCCTCCTGCCTCCTGCCGCCCCACTCGCACACCCTCCAGCCCCTCCTGCCCCAGTCTCGCGTTGCTATGAGGAGATTGAACTGACACTGCCACCCTCCCCAGCACCTTCACACCCGTCTCCGGCACTAAAGCATCCCCACGGCCCCAAACTGGACATTTCAAACCGGGAGAGGGAGAAGTTGAACCGCTACAACTACACAGACAACCAGGAACTGGAGGCCTGACCCTTGAACCTTTTGGGCCTCGGAGGAGCTTTTTTAGTTCTATTTAATTTTGTGTTCTTCGCACTCTCTCGCCAACGGGGACCTGTTTCCAGTTTCTTGCACTGTGTCACTGTTGCAGTTATGAAAATGGGGTGACCTTATGACCTTTATGTGCTCGAATAGCACCAGAAAACACCTGAGGAGTGAAGGCTGCTAAGTAAAAGGGTCAAAAGTCTAACTGTGTTGTCATCTTTGACTTTATTAACTACGAGAGGCAGCAGATGCATGATGTTTGACTGACAGACTCATCAGACTCTTGATTTATTCTTGAGGCTTAAAGACTTGCCTTGGAGTGCCTGAGATACAGTCAAGAGGAAATAGAGGATCAATCCTCTGTAGGAGCCTATCAACCTGTTTCCTGGTCCATGATGCCATTTGATTGGGGTTCAGACCTCCATTTCTGTTTGTGACTGAACTCTGAGATCAATGAATAGACGCTTATTTAACACTCAATGTGTGTGTCTGTGTCTGGTCGTGTGTGTGAGAGTGAAAGAGAGAATGTATATTATGAGTGTATGTGGGGGAGAAGGACAGTTTACTTTAAGAAAAAAAAACTAAGTTGATATATGTCAAAGTGGGTGCATACTCCTGCTCTAAAGGCTTTTAAGCCTTTGTTTTAAAACTATACACTGTTGCCTGTATTGTCTTTGTAATACTACAGTTTGTCGAAGATGTATGATTGTTTCATACCTGCGTGTAAAGTAGCTTTTTTTGTACATGAATATATTGTACATATTGATGCCCTTTTTGTACTGTGGTTTGGTCTGAAAGTATCACTGTATTGCTTTGCTCTGTTTGTCCCATTTCACTTTCCATTTGGAGCAACCAGCACATGTGAATTGTAATAAAAGTGCATTAACCAACTCTATTTCATTTTTTTATTGCCTTTAATCATTTATTACCAGAGTTACAGTCGCTGCTAGTGGGAGGTGTTGCCACACAGAGATCATTATCTATTGTCAGCAAGAGTGAAGTGCTTCTCGCCCTTTTTATATGTGCATAACAAGTGCATGTTTGGAATGCGATGACAAGCTTTGTTGTAAATATTGTCAGAGGCCCAAGCAAGGATATTTCACGATGGAGCAATAAGGAATACATACTGTAGTATTTGAAGTTATCATTTGCTGTATATTTATTAGTTTGTAATTCAAGTGAGTTAAAAGCTCAAGAAACTGTGCAGGCTCAGTTGTCACAGTCCAACGTCTTTCAACCTCTTAAACCACAGGTTGTTCCATTTGTGCAACCAGCAGTGCATCTACAGTGACCTTATGGATGCCACATTTGTAAGGCTGAGTTGTATAAAAATGTGTAAGTGATGCAGAAGTGATACTATATGAAATTATGCAGCCATAGATAATATTTCAGGCTTTAAATATTTATCTCATTGTAAGATTAAAAGCAGTTTAAGAACAAATGTACAGAGAAAATCATTGTTTAAAGGGTTAAACAGGCAAGTGGTGTTGGCTTTACATTATAAGAAAAAGGTGCAGCAATAAACAGACTTAAGGATACAGAGAACCAGCATCATTTTTAAAAGTGATATGACAAATCAAGATGGTCTTTGCAAGAAAGCATGAAGTACTTCTTACCCTTTGTGATTGTGTGTGTCCACTTCTCAGATGCTATGATAAGCTGTCTTGTTCAAATCACTGTCCTAAAGGAAGATATTTCATGACGGAGCACAGCTCACAGCCACTCACAGTCTCTCTCGCTCTCTTTCTGACACACAACAATGTTGCTGACAGTGTAGGAAAATAATGGCAAACCACCTGATTAACCCGAGTCTTCCTAGAGAACGACTGTGTAGTTATGAGAAACTTGTTTGTTGTTGAAAGTTGGTCAAACTTACAGTACACCCTCTTGTAACCTCAGTGGTGTGTAATTGTAAATTAATTATAATCATTAACTTGGAGTTTCTAAGTGCAACACGTGAGGTATAACAACAAAAACAGCTCAAATATACTGTATCTATTAATATAAAAACATGCAAAATACAACATACAACATGTACAGTTTGTGGCAGTGTACTGTATGTACGCTGCAACCCCCTTCATCTATGTGTGTCGTGATAATATGTGAAAGGATGTGAAAGGAAGGGTTTTATGTCGGGCCAGTGTAAAGTGGCTGCAGGGTCACAGCAGCAACAGTTATGGGCAAATGGATGTGACAAATGTAACCTTTGGCCTGTGCAAAGAGCAGCAGGCTGGAAATGGACACATGCTTCCTGTCACCACCCTGGTCAGGAGGAAACATGGGAAATAAGAGTTTAACATATGCACAAAGTACTCGGGCCTTCTCTACACCTGCTGTATGCACCAGGATGCCAGGCACCAGCCCACTGACGGCATGCTTCTTTGTAGGAGAAGCATCATTCATGTCAATTCTGGATTGCAGAATTTAGTATTTGTTCACAAATACATACTGTTTGTTCACATTTTATTTCATTACACCAGGGTAATCTCAAAAGTGGTGATGACTTCAAAGTTATGGGCATTTCTCCTGTGTTACAGGGACATCTTGTGGCCACAGCAGGTACACAAACGTCAAAACCACTTTTTAAATAGTGTATGACAGGGACATCATGAGTAAACAGAACCAAAGAACATTTATCAACTCTTGGGACTAACAGGCTACTTTAAACAACAGCATATTTACAATGTGATATTTAATTAATCGTTGATGTATTAATGCATACATCAGACATACTTGAATGTTTCAGCTGGTAAAGATGGGTCTAATTTGAATTACTTGACTGGTGGGTATCTTAACCTAATAGCCTAATACATGATAATCTAGACTAGTATTTGATTAAATGTGGAATCAAACATTGCATACAATGGAAATAATCAAGACAGGTACAAGTACACCAGGATATCATATGCAAAATCATATTTTATTCAGGGTACTTTGGAGGGGGCTGGATGTCTCATGTAGGGGGGGGGGGGAAATTGACAGTTGACGTATTGGCCAAACAGTCACTAAAGCGTATAAAGGTAATTGATATACATAAACCGTTAAGTAAAGCTGAAGTTAAGAGTATCATAAAGGATTATACACAAAACATGGCAGGAATACTGGGACTTGAGTGATACAGGATGACATCTCTACAATATTAAAAAACATGTTGGAGTGGGAGTCATACAGAGCAAGAGCCCAAGAGAAGAAAAGGGCATTAACCGATTGAGATTAAGGAATACAGATTTAAATGAAACACTTCATAGAGTATGCAAACATCCAACTGGAGCATGTATGCACTGCAATAAACTGGAAACTGTCCAACATATACTGATAGACTGAAATAGATCTGATGAAGAACGAAATAAGTTAATATCAGGGTTGAATGATGAAAAACGCAAACTTACACAATGGAACTTGCTAAGAAAGACATCATGGAGGACACCAAATATTCTGATGACTTATTTAAAAGTAACAGGAGTAATAGAAATAATTTAATTTGTATTATTTTGTTTATTTTACTGTTAAACTACTGATCGACACTCCAGTCCAACCGGTGGCGGTAATGCACCTCAAAGTTGTTTGCCAACCGCCATTACAAGTCAAAGAAGACGAAGAAGAAGCAGAAGCAGAAGAAGAAGAAGGAGGCGTGTGACACTCCGCTAGCGTCGCCCTCGACAGACCGAAAACAACCCAAGTGTGTGTTGGTGGTCAGTAAAACAGGTACGACGTGAATTTGAAAACGAAGCACATTGTGTTGCGTGTGTTGTTGGTGTTAAAGAGGCTGCGATACACGCGCTGCTCCTGACGTCTTTGAAAACTAGCTAAACTAAAGCTAAGCTAGGCTAGCTGTGATGCTAACTGTCTAACGTTAACAGGCCCGCTGCATGCGCAGTCAGGCCGATGTGCATGCTATCAAACACCTCCGCTAATTATAAAGACATTGCTGTTTGACATCTGAAAACCCTAAACGTGATATGAAGGGTGCGTGAATATCAGAATTAAGTGAAGTTAACAATGCACAAACAGGGCTGTTGTGTAACTTAAATGAGCGTGACAATGACATTGGACCTCGGTAGTTTGCTGTGTTAGCACATTTTAGCTGCTCCTGTAATGTTGATCTACTAAACACAAATAATGCATGTGACAAAACGGAGAGGCGGTTATCTATAAAGCATTGGCAGTAATGTGCAAAAAGTATTCGCTTTAGTTTAGTTTATCTTGAACGTCACTTCCCACTGCAACGACAAATAGTATGGGCTGCAGTCAGGGTTAGTACACAAGGAAGTGACTAAAACTATCAATTCACTTATAAATTAGTTAGAACATATCGTCTTTAGTCAGAGCTGAGTAATAAGGAAATCATACCAGAAAGTATATGTAAATAATGTGTTTGTCTCCTTTTGATATCAATACATTTAGAATATAAAATATATCTATGCCACTGATTTGTTTAAGCACAATGTGCTTGACCCACAGTATTAATAACACAAGTAAAATAGAAAAAAATATCATTAATAATACCGCAGACAAATTAGTCTGAGATATTGCTTGCCTGATGTTATCAGTACTTGAGAAGATTGAGAGTCACACTTTGTGTTTGTGTAAAACAAAGTCTCTGTGTTGTGCTCTTAGATGTATTGATTGTGGTTTATTATTTTAGTAAGAAGTGGTTATGTGCAGTATTCTCTGAGCTCTATCTGTACAGCTTGTCTCGGTCAAATATTTATTTTAAGAAAAGTAGTCTTTTTTTACATCTGTCTCTTTCACTCGACGCCTCTTCCACATCCATATTTGTGCTGCATTTCTTCATGTCCTTGTGTGCTCTCTTTCTCTTCCTCCCTCGCTCTCCTCTCTCATGTTTCCTCTCGCTCTTCCACTCTACAGCAGCCGTGCCACGCCGCGCCCCCACCCCCAGCGGAGCCGTCATGTGGCAAGAGGCCCGCAAACATGAGCGCAAGCTCCGTGGCATGATGGTAGATTACAAACGCCGTGGAGAGCGACGGCGGGAGTACTACGAGAAGATAGTAAGAGACTTCTTTAATCAACAGATCTGAGCGACGTATCCAGTGGAGCTCTGTGGCACGAGTTCCTGTGCTCCAGAATCTCATCTTTCCTGATCTTGCCTCAGTTGTTCTCTCTGTTGAGGCACCGGTTCGAGCTTTAAGTAGGCTCTGATGCGTTGGCTGAAACTCCTTCACCTCCTGCTAGCTTTCTATTTCTGCTAGTTGGTTTTTGTTCTGGCTGTCTACATAGGCAAGGCAAGTTTATTTGTATAGCACATTTCAACAACAAGGTAATTCAAAGTGCTTCACATAAAACCATTAAAAGCATCAAAACATAAGGCAAAAGAAAAGGAGATTTACAAACAATTAAGAAAATGCAGAAATGCAGGAAATTGATTAATATATTAATTGAATGTTGTTCAATTAAAGGCAGCAGCAAACAGAAAATATAGAGCCACATTTAGACCTAAGATGACAGATGACTACACTAACTCTCTTGCGTCAGCATTTTGCACAATAACGAAAAGATTTGTGAGCCAAGATTGGGCCTCACTTTACCAGACACTGTGAAGCACCACATACACGAGCCTATATTGTCCTTATGGGTTGAATAGAAGACGACATTGAGGAGTTTATTGTCTGTGCAGCATATTATCTTTCGCAATTTGGTTAGTTGTTTTATTTAGTTCGTAACAAGATGCCATTTTATTGTCTTCAGACTGCCGCTCGTTTTGTCTCAACAGAAAAAAGATCCAGCGCAGTTTCTGCAGGTTCATGGCCGAGCCTACAAGATCCACCTGGATCCTGCTGTGGCGATGGCTGCAGAGAGCCCCATCAACATGTGAGTACACACACACACACACACTCACCACATTCCAAGAAAAGTGGGGCTTAAAGTCTAAAACCTGAATTTTATTTTAAACGCAATCAGAATAATTAGTTTCAGGTTTAAATAGTCAAGATAATTGAGTGTTGACACTACCCGAGAGCAGCAGTCCCCTTTAGATGATGAGAAACACTGACTGACTTGTAGAAATCCAGTCAAATAAAGAGTCGGATGACGGTTATCGTGAATGAAAATCAAATATTTTGATACAACCTAATTCAATCCTGGGCACAATAGCGTCAAACAGTTGGTAAGAACAGACAACCTGTATATGTAAATTATTTGACTTGTGGGTCTAATTCAATGAAAGTGAAAAACAATGAAAGCTACAAAAAGAGATTGAGTAAAGCCATAACATCAGCAAATGTTAATGTACATTAACCAATACATTTTTCAACATTGTTTTCTATATAAACCTTAACGTTTATCAAATGCCATGTAATTAAACACTTATGTAGGGCTATCTTAGCATTGTCATTGTATCATTTATTATTTATTTAAGTAGATTTTATATAAACCTTTAATCACTTTGACTGATTAGTGGTCAATGAAGTCAAATAATATGGCAGCACTCCAGAAAGTCAGAGATGAAATCAATGCTTTTCCGTCAGGTCAGTGTTGCTGATCAGAATATCTCTGTCTCTCTCTTGTTTTGTCAAAAGGATGCCGTGGCAGGGAGACGCCAACAACATGATTGACAGGTTTGATGTGAGGGCTCACCTGGACTACATCCCCACCTACACGCCTCCGCTGCTCAGCACATCGTAAGTCTTAAAGTTACTTCACGTAACACTGAATCCAGAATCTGTCATTGACAGATTATTCATAGATTATTCTACATTTTGATATTTGGGGCACTTGATTTAAAAGAGAACACAAGTCATGGTTACAAGAAAGTACCGTCATTTTCACAGCGCTATAGCTTGTTTAGCTTGTTATAATTGATCAATATTGAACGTGTTGCATTTCCAAATTGCACTTCGACACTGCATATCCTCGGCTTTTCTTAGCCATATGCTCTGCCATATGTGAGGTACATCGGATGAACAGTTCTCGAGATATAATGCGGAGGACACAGACAGAGATTCCTTGCTTTGTAGTTAGAAGTAAATGAACTGTATTGTATAGTATGCAACAATCGTTTGCCTTGTTTGGTAGGTATGTTTAAATACCTCCTGTGAAGTTTTCATTGTGAAAGTCATGGTTTTATTTACATTCATTTCTCATTGCATCATGAGGGTTAGGGTTACACCATTGTTGAATGCATTTCCTATCTCATATAATATAAAATAAACCTTTTTCTGAATGTTTTAACTCTGTTCTACCCAATACTGTCACCCCAGTCTTGTTACTCTACTCTTATAGTGGTGCATTTTACAACCAGTACCAGTTGTTCTAGTTGTTACTGTATTTAATAATAACTGTGTTACTAAGTAATTCAACGGGTCATTGGTGAGATTATCTTTTCAGTTTCTCCCTCTACACGGCTTCAGATTCATGTTTCAGGCTCAAATGGAAGTAAAACCTGCTCAGAGAAAGTGGTGAAATACAAAACAACCTTCTGCTCTTTGTCTCGTACAGAACAACAGAGCAGGAGATGGAGGAGAGAAAGTGCAATTATGAGCGATACAGAGGCCTGGTGCAGAATGACTTTGCAAACAGTGAGTATCACAAACTTCATAGCTGAAAAGTTGAATTTCATTCGACTAATACATTGCATTAAACATTAGGTCTCATGTTGCAACACTGTGAAGCCACTGTTAATGCTCGTGTTCCTAACGTGCCTGTAATAGTCTGTTAATCTGCCCTCAGTGGGAACATTTTGCAGCGTTGTGCTCTTAAACTCCCTGCTGTCCCACAGTCTCTGAGGAGCAGTGTTTGTACCAGATCTACCTGGATGAGCTCTACGGTGGCCTGCAGAAACCAAATGAGGACGAGAAGAAAAAGTATGTCACTATAATGTTTTTAAAATGTCCCCCCCCACTGTGCATTTATATCGATGATTCTTAGAGTTTTAGGTTTGCGATGCATTTCTGAATCTTTGCTCCTGTTGTGCAGACTGGCTGAAAAGAAGGCCTCTATTGGTTACACCTATGAAGACAGCACCGTGGCGGAGCCAGACCCCGAGTCAGACAAAGATGAAGACAATTCAGAGAGCGAATCCGAAGAGGATGAAGGCATCCCAGATATCGGTGAGGAAACTTACACATCAGGAAATTGAATAATTCAGAGATTAACCAAAATGGTTATTCAGAAAAAGGATGCAGAGCAGAAATGTTAGTTTTAGTCAGATGTAGTCAACCTCATCTTGCTTTGTTTAGTTGCCTCAAGGTCTGGGTATTTAAATCTAATCTCAGTCAAAGGAAAACAAAGATATTTTAGTATAGTTTTAGTCAAAATATCACCTTCTTTCTCCCAAGCCGTGCTGTTGTCATTGTTAACTTTAACCTAAGTAAGTTACTCTGAGTATTATTGTCTGTACTCGTGTGCTGCCGGTGTAGTCCTGACGTATTTTAAACTACTTTTTTTTTTTTTTGTCAACAATATTGGATGTTTATATTCACAGTTAGTTTTTAATGACGTCTCATCTTCGTCTTAGTCACAGGAAAAAAAGATTGACTGACATATTTAGTCAAAGTCAGTCAGTTTGTAACATATCTAGAAATTATTATTCCATCAAGCATGACAATTCAATATTTTCCTCTTGTGTGTGTGTGTGTGTGTTTGTCCTCTTGTGCGTGTGCAGATGTGGAGGTTGATGTTGATGAGTTGAATCAGGAACAGGAGTTGGACCTAAACAAAATTGCAACCCCATATGGAATGGCTGAAGGAGACTTTGTTAGGTAACATATCAGTAATTATATCGTCATGTCTCAAAGGCTGTAATGTGCCGTCATTGAGATTCTTTTGCTTTTATAATTTAGCTTTTTTGTAAAAGCCGAGTGACTTTCCATCTGAATATTTCATCCAAAATCAACTGTATGTCTCTGTCGTTGACTTTTCATGTGTATATTTAAATAAGCATTTAAAAATATAAATATACAACACTCTTGATTTTGTTATTGTGACACCGTTTGACTTTGAGCACCGTGACCTGTTTATCAGGATGTTGAGGAAAGATAAGGAGGAAGTGGAGGCCATCAAACACGCCAAGGCGCTGGAGGCTGAGAAGGCCATGTACTCTGTAAGATAACATCCACTGAGAAATACGAGTGTGTCGTGTGATTGCTATGTGAGATTTAATAAGTAACACATTTGGTCATTTCAGGGCCGGCGTTCTCGCAGACAACGGAGAGAGTTCAGAGAGAAGAGACTAAAAGGGAGACAGATCAGCCCACCAAGGTAAAATAGTTTTTTTTTTTTTTACTGGGGATTTCCTCCTTAACAATAAACTTGCCTCAAAGCGTGTTTAGCTAATAACATAATTCTCCTGTATTTCAGCTATGCAAGGAGAGACAGCCCAACATACGACCCCTATAAACGGTGAGCTGAATGTTTTGTCCTTTTTTGTTCTTAACTTCTTGCTTTGTGGAGTCCGTATTTACATCTGAACTTTGTTTTCTGATCTCTCTTTCAGGCCAGAGTCAGAGTCTAGCTCTGAGTCGCGGTCACGCTCTCGTTCTCCTGGTCCAGAGAAGATCACCTTCATCACCAGCTACGGAGGCAGCGACGATGAAGCAGTAGCCGCAGCAGCAGCGGCAGCAGCGGCAGCAGCGGCAGCCGCCACCGCCGCCGCCGCAACAGCAGCAGCAGCAGCAGCCGCCGCCGCAGCAGCAACAAAAACAAGTGCCCCTCACTCTGGACACGTCCCCTCCAACTTGCAACACCCTGCAGGTCATAGCAGGGGCTCCCGGTCGGTAACTTTCCGGCTTCCTTCCATTAGTTATTGTCCTCGTACAGTTGAATTTGTGTCTGTTGAATTGACTGCAGCTGTTGAGGCAGAAAGAATACTGACGATGAAATACTGATTTTTGTGGTAGGTGAGGTGGATCACAGTTTTTGATCAAGTAAATTGTCAGTGCAGAAAGTTGCTGTTAAAGAACAAATGGACCTATTCTGCATGTACTATAGGGTGAGGTTGAATTAGTTTATGATTGTGCATGTCAGATTATGGCAAAGCAATGAGTATATCATATCGTATACCATGCAAGTATATGAGATTTTGATATTTGCTTATTTATACCTCTCTACAAAGTCCAGCATGTGAAAAAAACAAGAAACCAGAAGTATTCTGACAATAGGCTAGGTGCTGGGCTGGTGTTGTTACTAAAACCGCGTGTCTCTGTTTGTCCAGGAGACGAAGGTCCTCCTCCAGTCGCTCCCCTTCCTCCTCCTCCTGCTCTTCATCTCAGTCCACCTCTCGCTCGTCCTCCCGCTCGCGGCGTACCCGGCGCGGACGCGGGGGAAGGGAGGGGCGCCGATCCCGGACCCGATCGCGGTCGAGACGGCGTTCCAGATCTCACTCCCGGGGTAGAGGAGGGAACGGAGGGGCCGCATCCTGGAGGAGACGGGACCGGACACGATCGCGGTCCACCGACAGAGACCGAGAGCGAGAGAGAGACCGAGACCGAGACCGGGACAGGGATCGAGACAGGAGACGATTCTCAGCACGCAGACGGACGAGGTAAGACTCCCCGGTGTCTCCCAACAGTGCTGCAGTTACTGTTTTGCAACACACATGGCAGTGACACATGCTCGCTTTCTGTTTTCTGTCAGGTCCCGTTCCAGCTCACGGCAGGGGGGCAGTTCGAGGCGAGGGGGTCGGAACAGTGGAGGCCACCGGAGGGGAGACAGCGGCAGCCGCAGTCCCTCTCTGTCCCCCAGTCGCCTCAACCTCAGCCCCTCCCCTCACAGAGGAGACCTGCCTTCTACCAACACCGTCCGTGACAAGCTAAGAAAGTAAGACAATCACCCATCCACTGTAGTCCTGTGCTCTTGGCAAAACCCTGATTTTCATAATTTGCATCCACATTTTACGTTCCATCAGAAGCGATTTCATCACAGCGCCCAAGCAGAATGAACAGAAAATGAAACTATGATTAAGTTTAATTTACGGACACACTGCTCCTATCCTCTGCTGTGTGTCAGTGTTTCACAGAGAGAGAGGTTCAAATCCTACACACACACACACACACAGTTGAAGAGGCCTTTTATGACGGCTAGCATAGTTCACACTACACAACGTTAGCCGGATTTCATACTCGCCGATAGCTTTTGGAGCTTTCTGACTAAAGCCCCAGATCAGAGGCAAGTTGCTGTCGGTTCAGCGCTCGCTGTTCAAAGGCTCGCCGATGCATCACCTGGCAGGCTGAAGATCTGACCTGTCGTGGAGAAACCTGGGGGAAGGGGCGACCCTTAGTCATCCAAAAAAACTGAGGAATTTAACACCAACAGCTAAATTTAGAGCACTTTATTTTACAAAAGGCGGTCTTGTTTTATAACCGTATTGACTCACTTTCTTTTATAAACAAAAATGTTTTGTTACATCATTGCTATTTTTAAAATGTTACATTTTATCTCATCCGTTGTTAAAATTGTATTCATCCACCATGTTTAGATTTTTCTGATGGCAATGTGCTTAAACAAAGAAGTCAGAATAATGTAAAGCACAGAATCTAGAGAAAGAAATGAAACCTATTCCATAGATCCATACAGTGTTGTCAAGCCACAGGAATGATATCATGTGTTTATTAATGCCTTATGTATACCATAACATGATAATGTCTGCATCAACCCAGCTAATTGTCCTTTCTCTGTCCCCGTCTCCAGGCCTGATACTCCGGGTGGTAAAGAGACGGGAGCTGCCAAAGTCAGTAAGAATTTGATCTAGCTGGGTTTTCTTGCTAAAGCCTACGCCTCCCTCATCCCTGACAGGCTGACATGGTTGTCCACCAGACTGGGATGTAGAAGCCATTGTTGCCCACAAAGTGGACATGCACTGCAATCAAAAGCCTGTCATCTATTTTGCAATTTCCATTACAGTATTCCTCACCTTCTCAAGCGTTGGGCTGAGAAGAAACTTGCCACCGCTGAGAAATGACAGACTGAATTAATGCTGCCATCTCCGTATGGAGTGAACATTTCAGCACCCTGTGACGTCGTTATTGTCTTGCTCTTAGTGTGCGTTGTGCGTGCATGTAGACATATATACGTGTGCGCGTGAGAGAGTGCGGCGTCTTTGTATCTGTATTGTAGTCTCATGTACACGTCAGTGCGTCACACATCAATGGCCCCTAAGAGGAAGAAGATTTCTTCTTTTTGTTTCTGACCATGTGTCTTGTTCCAACTTGTGACTCAGTGTTGGCCAAGATGCTTGATTCATCTCTGATGGAAAGACGAGATGGGCGTGCTATGGACAGCCGTCTTGGGGCTTGTTTTAACAAGCAGCAGAGCACGCTCTTACTAAAACTAAAACTTATGTTCCACATAATAATACTGGGACACTTCATTCCTGTCTCATGTCTGTAGCCTAAATATGAAGCCACTGGAAACAGTTCAAAGGTAACAAAATAAGCTTTCCAGCATCTATCAAGCTCACTAATACACATATATCTCCTTTGTTTAATCCGTACAAAACTGAAGTGTAAAATGAAAATCACTTTTTTTATGCCAAACTATATCTAGAAGAAATAACGTGTAAATTACTGAGCTTGTGTTTCCTTCTCATGGTAGCTTCATATTTAGTGTACAGGGACAAGAAAGGGAATATGTGTGTTTCCCAAAATGTCAGACCGTCTCTTTAAGACTAAATAACACATTTATTTGTTGTTAAATTCTAACGTTCTTGACCGTTTGCAGTCCTGAACAAGCTGCTCGCTGCGTTTCCTGGCAAAGAAGAAAAGGTTTTGAATATTCTCCAACAGACAGAGTGGAAGTAATAATCTTCTTCTCTGCAGTGTTGTGACCTGCAGTCTTTCTTGCCTGACCAGGTTCAAACGGCCCAGCGATGGGTGTGTCCGTAACCAAATGCCACTGGCTCTTTCTGAACTTTCCAAACTCACCGAACCTGTACTTGTCGTTGTTTCACTTTTTGACACTCCCCCTCCCCTTTTTCTCGCTGACGGGGGTTCATAATATAAATATATTTAAGTGTAAAGGTTTATGTGACTGGATCCTGTCCTGCTTCTAAACTATCCTATGTAGCAGCTTTGAGCTACAGCAGCAGTTTGCCTCTCTCTCTCTCTCTCTCTCTCTCTCTCTCTCTCTCTCTCTCTCTCACACACACACAGACACAGAGCTTGTAAGATTCAAGTGTGCTTGTCGACTCATCAAACATCGCACGTAATTAATGAATCTGCTGCCTCTTTATCTCCACAAGCTACTGTACATAAAGGTGATAGTATTATAATTGTATGACAGCGTTGTCTTTGATCCTCTCTCTTAAACACACACACACACACACACACACACACACACACACACCCTTACGCTGACACACACTTTTGTCCGGCTTTGAAATGATGTGCTAACACAATTGTGTCACCTGCAGCCCAAGATAACTCCTCAGGAGCGGCTGAAGCTACGAATGCAGAAGGCCCTCAACAAGCAGTGTGAGTACAACTGAACAGGGTGTCCGTGTCGGTGCACAAGTTAAGAAACATGTTGACATGTATCTGTTGGCAATTATGTCACATTATGCAAATAACAAAGTTGTTGTTTTTTCGCCCCCGATTTCCTTTTTTTTTTTTCTTGTCCTGCAGCCAAGGCGGATAAAAGAGCGGCTCAGGTGAAGATCCAGCAGCAGGAAAACAAACGACAGGTGTGTGTGTGTGTGTGTGTGTGTGTGTGTGTGTGTGTGTGTGTGTGTGTGTGTGTGTACTTTAATATCGGGCAGAAACGGACTCTGTCACCCTGTATCTCCACTCATTGCTGAGTGTTTATTTTACAGGAGCGGGAGGGAGAGCTACGAGCCATGGCACGCAAGATACGCATGAAGTAAGAGACAGAGTGTCTGTGTGTGTGAGGACTGTTTGGTATTTGTGTGTTGCAACTGTCTGACCCAGAGGCTCTGCGTTTAGGGAGCGGGAGAGACGTGAGAAAGAGAGGGATGAATGGGAAAGACAGTACGGGCGACAGAGCCACTCGCCTTCTCCTTCTCCTTCCAAATATGGTAAGACTTTAGGTTTCTGATTACAAACAGCCATATGGAACGAATAAAATAATTTAGTTTATTGTGTGTGAGCACAGTCTTACATTTTATTTGTCTGATTTGCTGGCATCAGTGTCTGCTCTGACAGTTTTGCAGACGTTAAGATGCTCTGCCATGATACTGTTTAATGGTGTCTCTGTGTCCTCTGTCCCCTCAGGCCGAGAGCACAACTCACACAGAAGGTATGTGAGAAGCTACAAGAATCTACACAGCTCCAATGAAGCAGAATGAATTATATTATGGGAGACGTTTCACATTAATGCACAAGCACCGTCTCAAAGGCGGCTCATCACAGTGCCTTTACACGCAACACATCAGTGTGTCAAGTCTTGAGAGAGAAGTGGAGCCGGGATCAGAAATTAATCCACTTAAAGCCTAAAGTCAAAGAAAATACCTCAAACTTTTCAAAAGTTTGGTGTAAAGGGGAAATATCATACTCATCTTTAGGTTTATACTTGTACTTAGGTCTCTACTAGAACATGTTTACATCCTCTAATGTTCACAAAACACATTATTTCTCTTATGTCGTCTGTCTGAATACACCTGTGTGTTCACCCTCTGTCTGAAACGCTCCATGGTAGCGTGGAAGACTTTAAGCCCTCAAGCAAAAAGGCCCAGTCTGCTCTGATTGGCTTGCAAGAAAGATATGGTTCACTTTTGTGAAGGTAGTTCCCAAACTGTGGGTGGTTTATTCTAATGAGCCTACACGTGAACGAGGAAGTGGAGTGAACTCCCAATAGCTTGTAGAGTCACATGTTTTCTGATCTAGGCAGCCCACAAAAAGAAACTGACTGGGTTGTCTTATTTCACACGAGTAGCCCAACGACCAAAATATGAAGAGCTCTTTAATACGCAGACTTGCATATTTTCTTCAGGATGTTTGTCAGATTGTGCTGCTTTCACCTTCAAACTGATTTATATGTATTTCTTTTCTTCCAGGAGGTCACGCTCCCGGTCACGGAGTCCACACTACCGACACTGAGCTGTGGAAAACATGGACGCGTCGTACAAAACAAAACCTTGTCATGAGCACACATTCTGTCAAACAAGCAGCCTATTACAATATGAAGCGATGGACTGAACACTATGTTCTCTGGTATGTGTCCACAGAATATTACATTTTGACTGTGATGCCTTTAGTTTCACTAACTACACAGCCAATTGTTTGAGCCAAGCATAGTTTGATCTGCCCTTTTCATTTGTGCTTCATCGTGTAAAGAGACTACAGGTTTGTTAAATGAGTTTCTGGTTTCTTATTCTGCATGCTCCTTTTTTCCTTTTTCTGCCTGACCGGCCCTTCTCTATTTCAGAGTACATAATACGAAGCAATATCTCACCTTTTATCTCTCACTAAAGACCATTTTAAACAGGTTTCATGAGATATTTATACACATCCATTTCAAACGTCTTTATTAAAGAACATGAAGTCAATGTATGAATTCAGTCTATCAACCCCTCTTTTTGTACTCTGTCCTCTGCCAACCGGTTAACAGCAGCAAATAACTCTTTTGTTTTCAATAATATCGAATGTCAAATACAGAACAACAAATAAAATGAACTTTGAAATGATTTGCTCATTTTCTTTTTTTCCCCCCCGTCTCTAAAATCCCTGTTGCTTTTACAGGTTCTACCCAAATAAACAGTTTCGTTGGATATTTAGGTTTTGCATTTGGTCTGCATACCTTTTAAATATTTGATCAAATGTAGGTCACAAATTAGCAACAAACATAAGAAGATCCTCAGAAGTTTTTCACTTCTTGCAGTGTATTTTTTTTATCGGTAGGTGGCGACAAATCTCAGTTGTGCAGCGAAAGGTGCCTCACTGCGGCATCTTGTTACTGACGATCTCTCACTTTTGGGGCATTTTTCGGAGTTTCTGTGGTTTTATAACAGTCACACCTGACCAACGAGAGAAGGAGAAAGGAGTGCTCCTCTTGTTGTAGTTTGGGAGACACCTGTGGGGAAATC